TTGTGGAACGGTCTGTCCTCGGCGGTATTTCCAAACCAATACGACTTAGGGTCCTTCAAGAAGCGAGCCTATCATTTCCTTAAAGGCCGGCCACGCATCTGTATGTATTAGCTGAATATTTATTAAAGTATTCTGAATATTTTTTTTTAATAAAAATCCCTGCACTTAAGACACTTTTTCAATTTAGGGGGTGAATAAATTCGTTGTCATTATTAAGTTTTTACATTTGCAAATAAAAGTTTTACAGAGTGTGAACACAAAAAAAAAGTATTTATATAGTTATGCGGACGAAGAATCTCGGGAACAGCTATTAATTAATATAAATATATTTAGCAGATTCAAAAAAATCAAACGAAGCGTACCCGCAGGCGGCCCGCTGGCGCGTGGAATATTAGAGATCAAGACGAGTGTGAATTCTGCCGATTTACGTTGTTTCTCTCTAAAGTAAGTGTGTCTAGAGTAATCCATTTCCATAGACTTTTTTGTAATAAAATTAGGAGGCTGTTACTTATTACTTTTATCATACAATGTAAATAACCACCACCAGTTAACAAATGACATTGGACTATTATTTTTATTATCGGGTTTTTGTTTAATTGTTTACACATTTTCTTTTATGTTATAGGTGCGAGGATTAAGAGAGGCGCAGCGGTCAATGTGCCTCAAACATGCTCTACAGTTACTAGATATAATTAAGCACGAGAATCGTGATTTGTCCGGCGTAGAACTAGAAATAAACCTCTCTGATGCAGAATTAAAAGATTTGATATCAAATATGGATTCATAGAGGTATTCTAAAGCCATACCTAATAGGATATTAGTATTAAAGATAAAAGACTTAAATATTTTCCTTACGATCGACGCGCCTTGCGGGATCAGTGTTACAGGATAAATAAACTAGATGTAATTCAACGCTAATATTCAATCACTCTCAATGTAACCCTACTTTACAGTAAGAGGTTCTATTTTGTTAAGATATTTCACAATCACGCAGTATGTGCTCAAATATTGTAAAGTCCTAAAAATAAATTTAACTGGCGTATCGTATATTAGACAAGTACATTAAGAATAAGTTATATTTAAAATATTAAACCAACAAAAAATAATTTTAATTAAAACAAAACAAATGTTGCTCGACAGTTACATCGTTCCATTCGCACAAACTGTAAGTTAACAGAACAGTACATACGAAAAAGCGCTTTCGCTTGTTAAGGTTGATTTTACATTTTTGTCGTTTTATTCTGGCTTGTGACACTGTACCCCATTTTACATATGATAATTAATGCCTCAGGTTTCTCTGATTATTAATGAGGCACGAATATAACGCTTATTGTCTGCATGTGATTTTAATATAGTAGTGAATACAAAAAATAATATTAAGATATATTTATGAGAAAGAAGAATAAAAAAAAAAACAAAAAAAAAAGAAAAAAAGATGAGAAAAAGAAAATAAAAAAAACTGAATGCAAACCTCCTAATTCTTTTATCATTGTGGCGACCATCTTCGTTCTTTTTAATGAAGCCATTTGGTCTGTAGTCTTTTTTTTTGTAATAAATAATAACTACTTTTTTATATAATCTGTATCCATCTATACATTCTATTGAATAGGAAGGAATAGTATAAAATAAAAACATCGCAGTACAGTACGTTTGTTAGACTGCAATACTGCACAAATAAACATTTTAAATGAAGAGTTCAATTTGATTAAATTATTAATTAGTTTGCTTAATGTGATATGATTAATATACAATTGAACACTTTCTTCAACAGAAGAAAGTGTAACAGTTTGATTAAATTATTGGTTAATGTGATTTTAGTAATAATTTTATTGAAGTTAAAATTTGATTGATTTCTGATTGAACACTATCTTTAACAGAAGAAAGTGTTCCAATTTGATTAATTTATTGAAGTTAAAAACGTGTTTTTTTTTAAATCGTGAAGACTTGTTTTCAGCAAGGTAATGATATTGTATTCGCAAATCCTAGATTTTTTCTTTGTTATATACAGATACTCCAACATTACTACATATATTTTAATTGTAAGATGGAAAGTGCTGTTAATTTTCTCTTCTCAACCTAGCCTTTTACATTGATTTATAGAGCTACTAAGATCCTTATAGCAGTAGGGTCGGCGCCACAGGTTTTTGTCCTCCACATAACACTATCATATGTCATCTTAGTCATCACTTCCTTTTTGATCATGTCACCTTTCACGCAATCCATCCATCTCTTTCTAGGTCTACCTCTACTGGTGTACCCTTCCAAACTCATAAATAACATTCTATTAACATTCGATTCATCCCTCATAACATTATGGCAGTTTATTGACATAAAAACTATGCTCATTATTTGCAAATTACGACCTGTGTGCCCGTAGTAATTGTTTACTATTTTTATATGGATATATTATACAACCAAATACAAGGTAGACTTTGTACTTTTTTATATATAATTTCAGAATTAACATCATTATCTCCCCTACCTTATACTACTGCCCTAGTGTCGGTTTTTCGTCCTCCAACTGCCACAGGGTCCTTGTAGTTCTATAAATAAATATCTTTGTTTGCAATGCATGTATCGTAGAATAAGTATACCTAATTGTACGTTTAATAAAGGAATTTAATGTAAAACAGCGTAGTCAATTATTTTAATCTGGATCCCACTAAATTTTGTTTTAAAATGATTTATCTGCACGACCATCTTGTGTTACCAATTCAAATTCATATGTTTTAAATATATTGTAACCGGGTTGCCTAATCCTAGCCTGGCAAGGCTATGTTTTATTGATATCTGAAGTGGTCAATTTTTGGAGGAAAATCACCTTTTAATCACCACCGGTCACCAGACCAAATAGAGATTAATTACCCTTATCAAGTTTCCTGATAAAATTACACTCAAAATGAAGATATGTTCCTATGACAAAGGTATAGGGTTTAAAGATTCTCAAAAGTATGTAATAAAGATCGATAATATTGATAAAAAACAAACTATCATCACTAAAAATACTCCTGCCGCACTCTGGAAATGTATGTGAATCGAATTACACCTCACACTTTTTTTTTAAACAAGGTAGCAAACGAGCAAGCGGCCAACTGAATATGCCAAAATGGCGCAGCGACCGCTGCCCATAGACATCTGCAATTGCAGATGCGTTGCCTACCCTTAGCCGACGTAGGAGGAGTCGCACATAAAGTGGATAGTTCCCCTTAATATGCATCTCCTCCACTGTCAAATCCAATTCCTCTTCACATCCTCTCCTTATAAGAAAAGGGTGGTAAAGATAAAGGGACTAAAATTAGGCCTCCGGCACCACACTCATCAGACGAAACATGGTATTGCTGCCATTTCACGCCTGTCTTCTGTGTGGTCGTGGTATTACCCCGGGAGTACCAGCCCATTTGTGCTAAGATGTTAAAGCAGGTATTGCCACCTTGAAATCAGTCAAGCATTTAGGGTCTAGGGGGCATCAGTGAAATCAGTCAAGCATTTAGGGGCATTTAGGGTCTAGGTCTTCATCCTCTGCCTCTGTTTTCCGCTCAAATTTAATATGCAGATCATAATATATACAATACAATGGTATAGGGTTGCCTTATCAGAATCAAGCAACTAGGGCCTAGGGGTCCATCATGAGCCTCTGGGTTCTTATTTTCTTGTTAAAAGTATCCTCAACATGTAGATATTAATGTTCCTCCCGCAATGAAATAGGGTTGCCTCATCAAAACAAGTCCAAACACAGGTTACCGCGGTTCAAAGGTTCGAAATCCACCCAATAGTTTATAACGCAAATATTCTAACTCCACAAAGCTGTTTACCCAACCGTTCAAAATCTTCCTGTATACACTGATATAAAAGTGACACAGCCATTTGTTTTTTATTTCTTCACCCAGTTCAAGAGATGGCAAATGAGTGACACCCTACCTCACAAGCAGACACCCACACTCACTCAAATGTGTATATACATATATTGGGAGCAATGTAAAATCTGCTAAAATAGAAACCCAAAGTTGGAATTAAATGTTTATTGGTTAACCGCTGTAATTGGTTAAATACATGTTTCCATTTTCTATAGTGATATCCTCGAACAGCGTTTTCCAGGTTTCCAATCTTACTATTTAACGGCCAGGCTTAGGGAAATGATGCAGAGAACCGGAAAGCACAATAAAATTACTATATGTTACAAGTCCGTCCACAGCTCACTAGCAATCTGTGAATGAGTTAAGCCGCGGGCAGTTGGTATTCTAGGCCTATCTGAGTTATAATTTTCACCATAGTATGGGTTTCTAATTACCCCCCGCAGCTTCGTTGACATAGTAAACTGTATATGGATGCAACTGGAACTTTATGGTACATTCTACATATTTGCTTATCATTTCGATTTTACTGTAAGCATACCTTTTGTTTAACACTCGAATTAACAGCAAAATCGTAAGCTTTTCGGTATTTTTTCGTATACGTAGTCCAGAAAACTGAACCGGGGTTGGGTTTCGTGAGTAAACATAATACAGTGTCCGAGATAATTATCCCAATAACAATGAGAGAAGCACTATCAGGGTCTAGAAAACACAACATTACACAAAAAAGTGGAAAACACGAAAAGAATTTGTGATAATTCGGTTTGTTTTTAACTTATTTTTAAATTTTGAAACGTGACATTGTGCTAGTAGCAAAGAGTATAGTAGCTATTTAATGCTGGCCGGTTACAAAGTTCAACCTCTGTGAAGTTAGCCCCCTCACCTCTTTTTTTTTTGCAAATGCTAGGGAATCATTTGAGAGAGATTAAGAGGAAAAAAATACTTATGTTACTTTCATTTTGAATTCGGAAAAAATTATAATCGATACGAATGTTATCGATTTCAAAATTCAAAATTAAAAAGAATGAAGTGTGGTGACCAACTTCATGCTAAAAATTGAAATTTCTTTTACGGAGAAAGTAGGAACTCTCAAACGAAAGGTCCTTTCTCTCAAACCCTTTCAAACGAATTGCATAAAAAGAAGTAAAAAAAAAAGGTAAAGTGAGGTGGCTAACTTCACGGAGTTGCCTGGACTTGGCTACCTGATTAAAAAGTAATAACACATGAAAGTCGAGATGTAATTGTTCCTGAAACCATCTAAAAGTAAGCCAGTATCTATGTATAACTTAACTTTATAAAAGTCTTTTTTACATTTGTTGTAAATTTAATAGATTTAAGTGTGTTAGTGATTCCTTTCTTTGTAATGTTTATAGTATGATCTCCAGCCAGTTGTGAAAGACAAAACGTTTGTCGTATTGTATTTAAGGAATAGCTTGTAGATTGTTTACGATTCTACCTTTATATTATTGTGGTCCTTACGAAATTAAGCACTTTTAAAATTAGTAGCTGTATTAGTATTGTCAGTTTTGTCTAAATATATATTGCAGTCTGTTCACCTATAAGTGTGTCACACTTTTCGAAGGCAGATATTTTAGTGCGCTGAATACGAATTTAGCAAACTGTATAACATGGGAGTTAGAGTTTAATGTTTGTCATGTTTTTAAAAGATCTTTGTCTTGTCTATTAATTTAATGATACTCTTATTTAATTAATTGTTGTAACCTTTTCGTTTTAACTACTAATCAACAAAATTTTAAGATTAATTTTAATATAGTATAACTACCAGTTCTGTTTTAAACAACATTTTGAAGGAAAAAAATTGCTTTTTTTGTGTTGTGAATAGTTAATTTTCTTTGGTATTTCTAACTAGAGCTAGTGGTGCCACTGGAACTTTGCCAGATATTACTCAGTACATTATTTGATCACAACATTCATTGCACATTGTGTTAAATCGGGCATAAGAATAAGCACATATTATTTTTAAGAAACAAAATTTATTTTAAATAATTACAAATAATGTTTTTTGTGATTTTTGATTTATTTACTATACTGTAGAAAAAACAAAGTTGTATCAAAAGAATTTGGTCAAAGTTTTGCAAGTTCTTTAAGATATAAATTTATTTTTGTTTAACCGACCAGGAGTTTGTGGAAAAGTTATTTTTTTTAAAGTGGGTTTATGTGTATTTCAATTCCATTGTCACCTCTTTAATACTAAACCAAATTGACAAAAGAGGTGTCATTAATTTCTTATTATTCACTCAAGTGTAGTAAAGTGGGAGATATTTGGAAAGGCTTATTGTTTTTTCTACATTAATACTTAATAATTTATAAATAGTATTTTGTAAAAAGTGGGATTGAAATTTTACCTCTTTATTTATTTTCAAATTTTGTTTATTGACTTTTACAAGCAACTTTACTATGCAAGAATTTTCAAAAACATATTTATTTGCATATGCAATATTCCACACAGTAATCTATATCTGTGCCATATTTCATCAAGATCTTTTAAGCTGTTTTGGAGTTACCCGCTAAGAAACATCCATCTATCCAAGATAATTTTTGAATTTATAATACTAAAACGAGTAATATATATATATATGTAGTCACCTAGACTTAAAAAGCCTTGTTATTACTCAATATTTTGACAATTAACCTGTAATTTTGTAAAAGAGTTTTCTTTGTTTCATTATAAATTATGTTTTAATGAAGATTATTATGTTCACCACCTTGTTATCTTAATTAAACATTGGTATTTCTCATAGTAATAGCCACAAGATGGTAGCTATCATTTCTATGTTTTTAATTTCAGCAAAAATTTTGCAATTAATTAATAGTTTATATGATATGATATAATACAGCTATCATTATTGCATTATCTGAAGAAGATAAAAGTATGTTTGTTATCTTTCCCTTATTTCAAACAATAGTATTTTCTGAAGATATGACGAGTTTGTGCTAATTATTTTGTAAACAAATATTGGGAAAGGAAGAAAATATTTGCTTAACTAATAATTATTTACAGGTTTTTATGTCTCTATCATTTTCCTTTATCAATTTGGAAGAGTGAGTTGTTATATTCATCTACTAGCTGTTGCTTGTGACTTTGTACATGTGAAGTTTAAAAGGTCAAAACTAGCTTTTTCACCTAACTTAAAGTCTAAGCTACTAAGTAGTTAATTATTTTTTGTTTAATTACAATTTAAGCTAAAAAAAGTGTTGATTTACATCACATTAGAAATCTCTAAAATTCCATGAATTCCTCTGTCTAATAACAAAATACTGCATTAAAATCTGTTGAGTAGTTTTATAGATATAAGCTTACATCAGGACAATTAAACATCGGAATATTTAAGATGACTAGGGGCAATTAAAATAACATGTGTGATCTTTAGGTTAATACAATTTTTATAAAGATCAGTTTGTGAATGTGTATTACATAGGTATGTTCATAATGGTGAAAGTGTGTGTTGTTTTATTGCATTTTGTACACAATAATAACTAAGCATTCTTGAAACAATTAGTTAACTAGTACACATTTGTTAGAGTATTCATAAGTTAAAAGATATTTCCAAGTCACTATTAAAATGAGTAATTGTCATAATAGGATAAGTAAGGCACTGCCTGTTAGTCAATGCCATGTGCATTGCATACAACCGATTAATTAAGTTTTATCCACTAGATAGTTCACTGTATATGCAATGATGAACAAGACAAAATAGTGTCCCTATACATTTGATTTAGTACCAACTGTTAAATGGTGTAAATGATCCATAACTTATATTCACTCCTTAATGTTTAAATATGTTTGGTATATTGGTTCAACATATTGCCACTTCCATTGGCTACTTTTTATTTGCTTACAAAGCTATATCTTATCACAGTGTATAATAGGGACTAACATATGTATGGATTCAATTAAGCTGCCTCTTGTGACAATCCTTATGAGATCATTGACTGGTGTAATTGCACTCTTACTAGCAGTACCTCTATTGCCTTACGTTTAAGATCATAATCGCTTGCAGCTGAGCACTTGATGATGTTGGATTGAATTACCGCATCTTCCCTTTCTTTGTATAACATTTTTAGCTTAAGTTTTCCGTTAACTTATATTGTTGGCATAAATATTACATAACCTGCTGTTGCCCGCGACTCCGTCGCGACTATGTTCTACATCTGTGCCAAATTTCAGCGAAACCCGGTAAGCGGTTGTGGAGATACGTAATAACAAATATCCATCAATACATTCGCATTTTTAATATTATTAAGATAAGTATGTGTATTATAATGGGGTGTGGCGAGTTATAAAAAATAACAATAATCCTTTTAATTGAATAAAAAGAAACAAAACCCTGAATACTTATTGGTTAGAGACAAAGAAAAAGAACACGTAATATTATACCATTTTTGTACAAAAATGTGCCCAACGTCGCTACCTGTGCCATAAAAAGCCACTCGCGGTGAACTGGTTGAAGCACAGCCTTCGTCTTCCACGAACTCTCATCCTTTTACAATAATGTTTATTTTTTCTATAACGATGTTGAAAGTGTGCTTTTGTTGTATAGTAAGTCGTTGTAATATAAATTGTAGATTTTGGGAAGTTCGTTGCACTGTTGGATGAATCATTAATGATTTTAGCTTGTGTAATGAAAGTTTTGTTTAATTGTCAGCAGGTATCAAAATGATGCGAGCACAAGTAACACCTCCTGAGTGCGCCCTCGCCGCAGAAATGTTCGACCACTTTTGTTCAGCGGGAACTATGAAACAAATCTTGGCGTTACATCGAGAAATATGTAATACCCTCAACCTGAAACCGAACAGATTGCCCGACTTCTACCCTAAAATAAAGGTTTGTGGTTAGATTTAATTCTTTTATTAAGAGATAGCATTATAAGACAAATGTTTTATAAATTATTTGCATCAGTAAAATGCCGAGTTTATTAGAAGAGGCCACTTGTACAACTTATTGCTATGACTATATGAGTAATTAGATCTAAGTAAAGCCAAAAAATTAAGGAGATATCAGTAATTTAGTAACACGAAAGTGTTAGCTTTAATAAACTAGTTCAAAATAATTTTTATGTTAAGTTAAGCATCGTTTCACGAAACTAATTATTTACTTACGTCCAACGCGGCGGAACGGAGAATAGTACGAAAACATAAATCAGTGTTAACCGTTTAAACACTCTCTCCTATTTGCATGATTTTGGCACGTTGCCACAAAAATCCGCGTGTTGGGATTATTGCAGAGTTTTCACGGTTACTTGATAAACAACATGTCTGGAGAGCAAAACAATTCAGATATAAGCGTCGAGTTTTATTTCAAAATAGACTAATCATCTTCACGTATATTTTTAAAAAAATGTATCGAATAGTTCGACGCGAATGTATTTATTTCTAACGATATTTTGTGCCGCGCCGCGTAATTAATGTTTTTTTCTTAGTTATTAAATTATCTGATGGTCACACTTCAAATCATACAACATTTAAAAATTAATATGACTAATCACAACTTTTCAATTTATATTTTTGTTATAAATAAAATATACTGGTATTAATTTTAGCCTGATATAGTATCTTGATATGTCTGTTCAGTCCAGAAAATGTGTTTTTTAATTATGTCCCGATACGTGTTTAAACTACTTAACATTCTTATGATGCCAGAAAAGGTGTAATAAAAATGCTTTTCTTTTATAATGAGAGTTTAATAACATGTCACGCCTTTTGATTATTTAGATTTGTGACCGTATCATGACTTCGGGTTTGAACGCACTCTGGGTTTAGTTCAGTTAGTTAAATAAAATGTTCAAAGTCGCCACTACGTTGCGTCAACTCTGACTACCAACAATTACACTATGATGTAATATATTTACTTTCCATAATTAAAAACGAAAGTGAAAAGCAGATGATTATGGTTCTCTGTATTTACCGTAATATGATCCATGCTGCTTGTCTGCTCTTTGAATTGTATATGAAATTAATGAATGATTTGTCGACTTTGAAGACTTATATGTCATCCGATACATATTCTTTTATAGAGGGTCGGTAGATACGGCTTATGCGATAGCTTAATTAAGAAAATTATAATATGTATTAGGGTGTACTGAAACTTTCGTCAAAGTCATTTGCATTGCTGCGCTATCACTAATTGTTTAATGATGACGTGATGCTTATCAGTTGCGATAATGCTCGCTCGGCCGATTGTTATTCTGTTAAGTGTACACTTGATTTTATTTTTGCCAACGCTCTCTTGCTATAAATTTTACGTAAATAGTATGTTGACATGACGATGTCGAGCTGACTGTACCTTCTTCCTATATTTGAATATCTTTGAATATATCCTTTGTTTTTTTTAATAAATCAACATTAATATTTACATGTTGCCCTTGATATGCTTCCTTATGTACAGATCTTTATGAAACTGATAGATATTTCTGTGGAAATCTTAAAAAAGCCAAAGAGCAATGGTGTCTTAAAAATCTAATAATTATGAAATTAGCCAGATATGGTGAAACTTTTTGCAACATGGACATTAATCCTAGCCTAAAATAGGAATGATCGATAAATACTTTGTGAAATTTATATGGTTTTATATACTATGCAATGCTGTCTCCTCTGCGATCTAGCTTAACTAAGCTTTTTAATCAAGCTCCATTTTCTATTGAAGCTGAGCGACGCGCTTGCGATTTTCTGCTTTTGTGCATATTTCAGATAACCTGCTGATTGATGTGCGAATTTGGGGCGGATTAATTTATTGTTAGATCTATTAAAATACAAAATGTACGTCCAGTAGGCAGCAACAGAGTTTGCTTTTCTTGATGATGCAAATCTTCTTATATATATATATATATATATTCCGTTATTGGGCTGTCGTCTCATCGCCTCGTTCAACTTTCTTCCCTCCATCCATTCACTACCTCTACATGGCCAGGAAAAAATCTTATAAGTTCCTTGATAGAAGAGGGTGGGATAGGTAGTTTTCATCAGATGTAACACTGGTTAATTATTTAAAAAAAATGGTCTACTTAATACCCGTCTTCTGTGGGGTCGTGGTCTGGTGAAATAACCATTCGGTACGGTGCATTTAGTTTTTGGCTGTTGGACGGTCATGTTTCGGTTAATGTGATAATCAATTTTTATTCCTATTGGGTCTAAATTTAGTGGCGATTTTGACTAGTTTTGAAACAAACATCATTTAATGTTCAATTTATACATTATTTGTTTCGTATACATTGCAGGCTAAACTGGCAAATTCATGGAAGGCTCAAGCTCTGTTCAAGAAGTTCGATCTGCGAGCGAACCACAAGGTGTACGGCAAGGGCAGGATATGCGCGCAGACGAAAGTCCTCATCATCGGCGCAGGGCCCTGCGGCTTAAGAGTGGCTATTGAGTGCCAACTTTTAGGAGCTAAAGTGGTAACATATCCAATATCTTCTCCTCCTCTACACTAATTTGGGAAAGTTTTTATATGCCTAAAATCTCACATCTCTTATTATCTATCTTTATTAAAACATATATGTAATATAGTATTAAGGCATATTGAAATGGCGCCGATTGATTTTTTTTCAACTTGCTACAACGATAGATGAAAACGTATTTTGTAAAATATTAAATGAAAACAGCAATTGGCACTTTAATTTTTTAAAAGTAAAGGATAGGTCTCATACTCTATTGTAATTTTAATAAATCTGATTGGAAAACAAAAACGAACTATGACTGTTAATTATTTCGAGGGGGGTCGTTTTCTCATTGCCACGCACATAGCCAATGTAGCGCTTGCAAAGGAAGGCTGACTTCTGTCTCGTAGAGTTATTCCCAAGAAAATTTATTAATTAAGTTGACGTACTAACAGGTCGTTGTAGAAAAACGTGATCGGATGTCACGTAATAATGTACTGCATCTGTGGCCGTTCGTCATACAAGATCTGCGTGCTCTGGGCGCTAAGAAATTCTTCGGAAAATTTTGCGCAGGTTCCATTGACCATATCAGCATACGACAATTGCAGTGCATTCTTATGAAGGTATGTAACGCGAATATAAATTAGTTCATTTACCTTGATATTAACAAATGTTTCGGTCAATAAATAATCAGTAAAAAGGAAATATCTATACTATACTATAATATAGCGTAAACACACACTTCGTTATGTAAGATGTCGGCAATATCAACGTACTTTTGAATTACCCTTTTTTTATAGTAAAAACACCTACGCTTACGATGCATGGGAAGGGCTCGTGATATATAAAGAGGTTTTATTGACATATGTTGAAATGGCTTACAGGTAGCGTTACTGCTTGGCGTAGAATTGCACGAAGGTGTCAGTTTTGAGGAGCTATTGGAGCCAAGTATCACTCGGCATGGTGAGAGTAAGTTGATATTTGTCTATTTGCCTTTACCTAAATTCATACTTGCGTAGAGATTGGGTGATATCCGAATCACCGGGCAGTTGGACGCTCGTTAGCTTCCATATACATCGCGTTGAGTCATGAGTTAATAATGAAATGAAATTAAATGAAAAAAAAAGAAAGAATAATGAAAATCTTTCTTTTGGTCATATTATGATGACTACATGAAAAATATTACATTTATCATATTCTGACCTATATTATCTGATGTACTTTCCAGGGGTTGGTTGGAGGGCGCGTGTGTCGCCGGCCGAGCACCCTGTATCGCAGTATGAGTTTGATGCGCTGGTCGGTGCGGATGGAAAACGTAATACGCTGCACGGATTCAAACGTAAAGAGTTCCGTGGCAAGCTAGCTATGGCTATCACCGCTAACTTCATTAATAGACACAGCGAACAAGAAGCATCGGTAAATACATTTAACTATACTTTTTTAACTATAACAGTTAAGTTAGGAGGTCCACTTTAAACGCCAATAATGGTCAGGCCCACGGATTACCGATTACGTGCTCTAGGGTTCGAAACCCGCTATTCGACTATTTTTGTAAACCATATCCTAGCACAAACTTAGACATTAGTTCGAATGGTAAAAGAAATATTAGTAGATGAATAGCTAATAGCTAAATAAGAATGTCTACCTAACACTTTCTATTTTTTTTTTAATACCATAAGTGGCAAACGAGCAAGCGGCCACCTGAATCCACCAAAATGGCGAAGCGACAACTGCCAATAGATTTTCGCAATAGCAGATGCGTTGCCCTTAATCGACAGAAGAGGAGACGCACATAAAGAGGATATTTCCCCTTCTTATGCGTCTCCTCCACCGTCAAATCCACGTTCCCTTATCATCCTATTCTTATGAGAAAAAGGGTGGGAAGGAAAAGAGATCAAAGTTGGGCCTCCGGCTCCAAATTCTAATATATTTATATGTTTTTTAAATGACTGACAAAGCAAACAAAAATTCATAGTTTGCTGTTTGCTTTATCTGGAAACAATGTTGATTGTACTAGAATGATATTAATTATACGATAATTTACAAACAATATACGTCGTGTTTAATAAGGTTTTGGTAAAAAAACTTATGATTCAAATAAGTGTTATATTTAACTATGGTCTTTGTTAATATTGGCAGCTAGATCACTATAGCATTTTTTCAGGTGCCGGAAATAAGCGGGGTCGCCTTTATTTTTAATCAGAAATTCTTCAAAGAACTCTTTGAGGTAACTGGCATCGATCTTGAGAACATTGTCTACTACAAAGATGATACACACTACTTCGTCATGACGGCGAAAAAGCACAGTCTATTGAACAAGGGAGTTTTATTAAATGTAAGTAGATTCAAAATATATACATATAATAAAATTGTAGTGACTGTTTGTGATGTAAAAAAAATTAAAATTTTTGTATTTCCGTTACTGGTAACGAAAATCGCATTTAAAGTTTTTGTCTGTCTGTCCACAAACCGCGTTTGTTCCGGGTAATCTCCGAAGCGGGTGGGCCGATTTCGACCGAACTTTCACTATAGGGTATAGGCCGGCATATTATAGGCTACTTTTTATTTTAACATTGCGTGGATGAAGTCGCAGGCATCAGCTAGTATGCAATAAATACAATTAATCAAATAAATATACTGTTGAAATCAGTATAATTATCTGCACATGTGTAGATATCACTATTTCTTATTAGCATATATTCATGGTTGAAAGTATACAATCATATTTTCAAAAACTGATGGTGTATATATGTTTCTGAAATTTTGAAAATGTCATCATCATCAACATGCCCCTGTCCCTACGTAGGGACGACACTATGCTGCTCATACATCAGCCTTCATATCCATCCATTCATAATTCCTCCATACTTTCTTTGGTCTCCCTCTACCGTTGTACACCACATTAATTTAAATACTTTGTCGAAACTTTGCAAATATATAAAATTATAATTGAGTGTATAGTCGATGAAACTGGTGGTGTTCTAACTTAAAAGATACAATCGTTTGTACATTTTGAAATGAGACTCGGCGCACATGAAATACAACACAGCTTACGAATTGTTCTGTAGAAAAAACGGCGGTTAGTAATAAAAGGCTAGTTTCTTGTTATTATCCCTTCGTTTGCTCTGATTTCTATTTAATTATTTATAGGAAGAGGCGGAGTTTATCTCGTTGCAATGAATAAGGCAATTTTTTCTGAAGTGAATACCGCATATATCTGCGACTGTACTATATTGTAAGGACATAACTGTAACAACGTAATTAGATTGGGTATCAACCCCTGCCAGAATTGCGCGCTATTCCAATACGTCTGAATGACATTGACAGTTGTAGGGACGAGACGTATGGCAATAGACTACTGATTTTCTTAACAATATGCATGTAATATTTCAGGATTATGCAGAAGTGTCTCGCCTGTTGAGCGTGGAGAATGTGGAGCGCGGTGCACTGATGCGATATGCGCAGGAAGCGGCTCGTTTCTCCACCGACGGACAGCTGCCCCTCAACGACTTCGCTCTTAACCACTACGGGGAGCCCGATGTCGCACTATTCGATTTTACCTCTATGTACGCCGCTGAGAATGCCAGTATTGTAAGTACAATACGCAATATCTATCAGGTATATCGGTATGAAATCAGCGTTTTCTTTGTGAAAATAAGACACTGATTATTAATGGGAAAGTAAAAAATATACAGACGAATTGAGTAACTCCTTTTTTTTGCTGCAAATTACAAGTAATTGTTAACTATATAATCTAAAACTATATATTCTTTGTTATTTGAGCATTTGAATTTTGATATTATATATGAAATTCAAAGAAATGTAAATCATAAAATTAAGTTTTTCTAATGTGATGCGGATGAATGTATGGGTACAGCTAGACAATAAAGAGAGTGTAATAAACCGTTTAAATTTCCAGGTATACGAGCGTCAAGGTAAACGTCTCCTTTGCCAGTTGGTGGGGGACAGTCTTCTAGAACCTTTCTGGCCGACTGGGTCTGGCTGCGCTCGAGGTTTCCTGTCAGCGTTGGACGCCGCGTGGGCCGTGCGCTCCTGGGGACAAACTCCACCACCACATCCCCTAGAAGTTATAGCTGAAAGGGAATCTATATACCGACTATTGGGTAATTTAATTATTTATTTATTTAAGTACAACCACAACATATATATTATACACTTATAATTATTTAGTTTAAGGTATTATTTCTTAAATATATGTAAATACTGGAGTACATAACATTTGCTAGTATTTGTTTTAGGTTTCTATTACATTTAATATAAAGAACTTAAAGCAGTACAAAGTTTATAGTCTACATTTTATTCTAAGTATTAGTACCGCGCTATAGAATTGGTGCAACACTAGATTATTGGCATAAACGTCACATCTCTAACTGACAGCTGTCAATGTCATTAGGAGGATTGATATTCGCGCGCGATCCTGAGTCCTGACGAGAAGTGTTGGTCTGAGTTTAAAAACGATAGTATTCATTAAATAAATTGTTTAAAAGTACAAATTTAAAATATCACATCACAATTACGTCTATCAATTTTAGCTTCATAGTGAGATAACCTGCTTGAATACATCAATTAAAGTGAATCGACGACGAATCTTCAAACGTATATGTTAATTGAGTCAGTTATGAAAAATCCAAGTTTTTTATATATTTATCAGTATTTAAAAAGAAAGTTCACTGACGCAACATTGTAATCATGTGTTATTGAAAATATTACAGTATAGAATCGAAGTTTGGAAACAAATGCATCTGTTTAGTTGTAACTTTTCAAGACATTTTTCCAGCAAAGAGCAGAGTCTAACGATTTTACAACAGTTTACATCGTTAAATTTCGATAAAGTGCCAAATGTGACTTATTGAAATTGCACAAAAATGAAGCGAATCCAATAATTAATTCTATATCTTCTTTGTCATCTGAAATAAATCGATTACTATTTATTTATTTTTTATTTATTTATTTATTTATCTATATGTTACAGCACAAACAACTCCTGAGAATTTACACCGTGATTTTGGGGGTTACACATTAGACCCCGGAACGCGGTACCCGAACTTAAACAGAACTGCAGTAACACCGCATCGAGTTACATCGTTCTATGACTGTGATGAAGCTCTCCAGTTAGAAACTCCCATCGGGAGTAGGAAGCGACGCCGCGGTATGTACTATACTAGTCTATAGTAATATAAAAAAGGATAGATTTGTATTTTTGTATTTATTGAAATAACTCAAAAACTATTGGGCCGATTTCAAACCTTTGAAAATATACGTCGTCACTGAGTAACATCATATCTTACTAATATTATAAATGCGAAAGTTTAGATGGATGGATGGATGTTTGTTAGAGTTTGTAGCCTAAACGGCTTAACGGATTTCGATGAAATTTAGCATAGATGTAGAGGATAGTCTGGAAGAACACATGCCTATGTGCCTACTTATTTGATTTTTAGTTCCGCGCAGACGGAGTCGCGGGTGAAAGCTAGTAGGTTATATTTGTACTGTTTATTGATTTGATGTGGAGGACAGTTGCGGGCTAAAGCTAGTTATAAGAATATAGGAATAGATATTTCAGAGATGGATATATCTGAGGGTGCGCTGATATCGTGGGTGGGGAGTGCGGAGGCGGGGCTGGCGGGCGCGGCGGGGGCGCAGGCGCTCGCCGCCCTCGTGCGCCGCTACCGGCCAGACCTGATGCCGCCCAGCGCCCCGCACAACGCTGTCTATCAAGTCTTACAACATGAGTTTGGTAATAAATTGTGTAATGTAGTAGGAATTTAGAAAAGACGTTGTGCGACCAGTCAAAATGACAGGTCTGGTAAATCTAGTGTTAATGATGTTCGAATCTGCAAGTATTCTAGCTTTAAAAAAAATCTTTAATGGGACTTTATTTCTATGTCTTGCTATGTATTATTTACAAAACAAAACATGATGGCATTCTTTCTGACTATTTTTTTTAAATTACACATGATAATTCATAATTTTGTTTCTAGCTTAAATATTCGTTAATTTTTTAACGTTTATTTTCTATTCCTTAGGGATTACGCCGTTTCCGAATACAGGCTCGACGTACGACGTGCCCGAAGCGAAACTGCGCTCATATTTGTCTCGAGTGTACCTAGCATTCAAAGGCGAAGTACCTCACATACATCATAAATATGAAGTATTTGATCAGGTACATTACCTTCTTATATTTATTTAATGATTTCTATATGTTCGAGGCATGAAAACTGAAAACTGATTTTTGTACCTATAACTATCCAAACAATATTTGAATTATCAGTTGATTTAAGATCTTTGTTTCAAAACAAATTAATCCGTGTTTACTTCCAAATTTACTTTCTTTTGAAATAACTTACTTTATTAGCATTTATAATTATTGGATGTATTTGTTGTATAAAGTTTTTAACATACAAATGTAATTCATATCACAATTGATATTCTTACCTAGACTCATTATCATCATCATCTCTCCTACTTTATCTTCTTGATCATGTTACCTTTTACGCAATCCATCCATCTCTTTCTAGCTCTACCTCTACCGGTGTACCTCCACACTCATAACACACCCATACCACGCCAAGCTTTTACTCCTTAATTTCTCAACCACTGGGGCTCCTCCCAAACTTCCTCTAATATACTCATTTCGTATCTTATCCAATCGTGTTACCCCACACATCCATCTTAACATTCGCATTTCTGCCACATGTATTCTTTCATCCGTCCCTTTTACTGCCCAACATTCAGATCCATAAATCATGACAGGTCTTATGACGGTCTTGTATGCGGGTCGCATATTACCCTGTGATCTGTCATTTCATCCATTCCTCATTTATTCTAATTGCCACGTCACGGTCAATGTTGCCGTTGACTTGGATATCCTTACCTGTACTGTTATACTTTTTAATCTCCCGCTAGTTTTAATAATGTCAGCTTTCTTTTTAGATCAAAAAAAGCCAACAGAAAGAGAAGCATGCCCGAAATACGACGGACCATTCGGTTTCTGTATATTCGAGTAAGTAATGAAAATCATTAATGAAAAGTTGAAGTTTCATTTCATATGTTAGTTATCATATTCAGATAGACCATAGTGATCATCCGAACGATCGATCCTTAGATCTTCCTCGATTATACAAATATTAGTTTTTTTTTACAATTAACCTCAATGAGTGAAAATCCTTCTAATAATTGTTTGAGATTAAATATATATTACATCGATAAAATTTAATTATAAACTATGTTGATTATGTTTTTGATATGTGTTATTTTATAACAGATGCAGCCGAACTCGATAAATCTACCTTAAGTTCCAGAAGAAAACGCCGCTCCACACGCTCTTCCCAAGTAAGTAACGATCCCGTCGAATATATTAGAAAAAGGATTGGTAAATTAGATGTTAACGATATGACACAACTAGCACGACTTATAGAAGGCCACGATGCTATATCTACCGAAGTAGATCACTCTGAGAAACAGAAACAAATACAAGAGCAAATATTAGCATTATTCGACACCGAAGATTCCACAGATCCAAGAATGGTAAGAGATTCCCTCGCTTACCTACTCCAAGGAACTACGAATACGCGAATTAAACAAAAGGGATCAAAACAATCCAATTTAACCGACTTCTTCCAAGAAAAAGGCGCTGAGCCAAAACCCTCCAAACCCAGACGAAAACTAAAAGGGTTAGCCAGCGACACTATCAAAGTACCCGATTTCTCAGACGTTTTTAGAGATGATTCGACAGATACTGACACGACTATTGTAAAGTTAGAAAAACCAAAGAAGAAAGACTTGATAAGATCTTCTTCCACGGATAATGAAAAAAGTCAGCGATCTACGTCTATAGAAACTCAAATACCCCAAGGGAGGCGAATGTCGGAAGTTATCGACCTTAATCGACGGAGATATTCACAAAGCCCTGAAATACATTTATCGGGCCGCTCTAATTCTATTGGCAGTTTAGAAAGCTCGTACAATACAAAAAGAATTGCCGAAATGTTTGGTGGCCGGAAAGATAGGCACACGGCTAGTCCAGAATCTCGATCTGTTCGGTCCGGTTCCAGCGGCAGCAAAGAGATGGCACTGAGATTGCAAAGAATGACGGACATTATCGAAGGGAAGCGTCGCGATACGCCGAGTCCTGATCGTACTAAAAGACTGGAATCTATCGGCAATCCTGAAATGGCGCTGCGCAGACAAAAAGTTTCCGATCTCATTCAAGGTATTAAGCCCCGAGATAGTCCTGAACCGCCGCAGAGAAGGAACTCAGGCGATATGGCTTTTAGAATGCAAAGAGTATCTGATATGATGGAGAAGAGAAATGCTCAAGCGAAGGTACCAAAAAGTGTTGGAAGAAGGAAAGCCGCTCGCGAGATAATGAAGCAACGATTCGAGAAGAGTTTACAAATGTTAGCAGCAGAGCCACGGCTGGACTTTACTCCGTCCGCAGACCTCGAACATGACTACGGCCTGCAGCAGTACAGGGCCAGCGCGCCGCACTTTGACGAGCGTGTTAAGAAGCTAGAGAAGCAGTTGCAACATTATGTGAGAAGCGTGTGCCCTTGTGTGTCATTGTGTGCCATTGTGTGCCAATGTGTGCTTGCATGATGACACTAACCATTGCCGGTAGTTTTCCTGATTAGATTTATTTTATGTGAAATTTAAAATATTTTGTTAAATGTGTAAAATATTAAATGTGTTTGCATGAATTTAATAACGATCACGTAATGCTGTAATCAGAGTTTTTCAGTACCGCTATCTTAAAACTATATACGGTGAAATATCCGTACTTCTGGAATGATAAAACAATACAACTTTATCAATCTGTTGTTTCTCACATTTAAAATTACAAATTAATGAAACTGTGGAATTAACTATATGTATAGCACGATTTAAATTAACATGTTTGATATTTTTTGTATTTGCTACAATAATACTTGTCATTTATCTTCAAACTACAATTAAGGAGATCGTAGTGATTGATTTATTAACAAAAAATAGTAATTTTGTTAAAATAAACTTACCATTGTAATGTGCTTGTTGTAGGAGGAGGGCAGAGTGGTGGGAGGAGGCAAGGCATTTGGCGGAGGTGCCCACGTGGCTCGTCTTGCTGCGGAACTCTCCGCAAACCCATCAACTGCAATGCCTAAAGCTTCCAAACCAAAAGATCTGATACGATCAGTTGGAAAAATAGAAAAAGATGATTGGAACGTCAAAGAAATTGAAAAGAAAATCATGGAAAACCGTCTCGGTAGACCAGAACCGAAAGCTGCTGAGAAAGTTCCCAAATGGGATAGAGAGGAAGTGAGTTTTACATTTTAGTATTATTTTCTACTTAGGTTGGTACAACACCTACTAGTGTAGTCGTAATAATATTACTTTATACTATATTAAAATGGGGAATAGTATGAAAACATGACCGACAATATCAATCTTTTTTGTCTACGGTTTTATTTTAGTAACAGTGAACACATTAATTTATCTTATTAATAAATAATAATTGCGATAGTTAAGATGTTAAGATAAATGGATATTTATTACCACGTATGTCGGAACGGCTCAAAGTATCGACGTAGGACATTGTCTGGAAAAAACATAGGCTACTAATTAGGATTTTTTAACTCCGCTCAGACCTATTCGCGGATTTTTATCCGCTTTTGTTTTTACAAGCTTTTGCTTGTAATGTGTGTGTAGTGAAACTATTACTGGTGTATTTTTAACTATATCTGTCTATTATTCTCAACAGTTTCTTAAACGCCAACGTCGCTTGAAAGAAGGTGACCAGAATGATGAGAAATGGGATGATATTGATGAAACTATTAACAAATTCAACCAGAAGGTGAAAGATTCGGGTCGCCCCGAACAGGGTAATGAAAGGGTAAGTGGATTGAATATTATGACGTCGTATGAAAATTTTTTGTTATAACTAGTAGAGACGTTTAAAAAAGAAAAAAGAAATTCGTGCATATTTCTTATTTTGTATATCCTGTATTTTTCTACAGGTAGCGAAATTAGCAACCAAGTTTGTGAAAAAAGAGGAGCCTGATTCTGAAAAAGCTGAATCACATGATAAGGTTGGTTATTTATCTTTTAATTGGTTATAACTTTTATTGTTAATTATTAATCTGTTTTCAATAAATTTCAATTTCAATATTATAAGGAGGAATTTGTTTTTTTTATTTGTATTGAAATAACGCGAAAACTACTTCGCCGATTACAAAAATTCTGTCACTATTAAAAAGCTACATTATTGCTGAATAATATCTCATACTAATATTATAAATTCGAAAGGTTAGATGAATGGATGGATGGATGTTTGTTACAGTTTATAACCTAAACTGCTGAATGGATTTTGATGAAATTTGATTTTGATGTAGAGGATAGTCTGGGAGAACACATAGGCAGCTCACTTTTGTTTTTTTTTAAATTTCACGCTGACGGTGTCGCGGGCGAAAGCTAGTAGGCTATATTTTCAATTATTTTTTTTGAATACAGACGAAGTTATTAATGATTGTAGCAAAGCAAGCGCAGTTGGCGCGGCCCGTCTGCGTCAGGTATCCAGTGCGTGGCGTGCGGGCAGCGCGTCTTCGCGGCCGAGGGTGTTATCGCCGACGGCCTCCATCTGCACAGGTCGTGCTTCAGATGCGCTGTATGCAACACCGTATTGAGACCCGGGTAACGTCTCTTTCTTTATTATAACTAATTATTTAACGGCTATCACTCACCTCTATTTTTCCGAATCGATTGTTTTTTCTTCATATTATCTAACATTTTTTTATCCCCTAACAAAGGGGTATGCATTGGAATTTCATTACTTTACAGAACATGTAATTTAATTAAGAAATCCTCGAACTCAATAAATAAAAAAAAATCTTGTCGTTATCCTGATGAAAGAGCATTTTTTGGCGATTATACCTATAGTAATAAATTATACTGAGAAAAATGTACTTATTGTCTTATGTATGGCCACAGATATATAAAAAAAAACTATATCTTGGTGATGAATAGTATTCCATGTGTTAAATCAGATATTGTTTTCTATTTGTGCCAAATTTTAATAAGATATGCTGTAGCATTGCAGAATTTGATGATGGATTCCAAGGAGACCATAACTATTTCTGGGCAGAATTTAGCCTATGTCTGGAAGAATCCAGACTATGCTCTACATCTATACCAAATTTTATCGAGATCTGCTTAGCTGTTAAGGCTACACACTAACAAACGTGTATCCATCCATCGAAACTTTTACATTCATGAAAATTGTTACCATAGTTAATACCTAACGGAAAACATTTTCACGCGTGAAAGGAACAAAAACTACAAGAAGTGAAGAAACTAGATTCCTATGATAAAGATAATTGTTAGCCAAAAGCAAAGGCCTTTGTTGTTTTTAAAGTTTTATGCGAATAAATCCACAGCTAATATATAATTCCTTTCAATGTTATTGTAAACTATCTTTTAAATACCTCAAATGCCATAAATATATATATACATAAATAATGTCTTGTTATTTCAGCAATTATGCTATGGAGCGATACGGTAATCGTTTAGTGTGTTTGCGGCATGCCGGTGTGACTGTATGTGTACCGGACAGTGTGAATATCTTGACACCGCCGTCAAAACCTCAAACTGTTCACTCTACCCCTGAGCGAATCAGCCTGGAGCTATCTGATGCTGCTGCGAGAGAAATCGACGAAGACGAATGGACAGACAGGAATTGTCTGGCATCAGAAACATCTCCTGCCGGAGGGCTTAGGTACGTTTTCCTATACAATCGATATCCGATGTTGACTAAATTAAAAGCCAAAACGCCTCAACGACAACGACGTGCGTAACGAAGCGAGCACAACTCAAATTGTATTCCGAAAGTGTGCGAGACTGTTTTCTAGGTTTATCATAACGAAAATCTCAAGTAAGTTTTATTTTAAAGCCATCGTGATATAATGAAAAACAAACTTGTCACGAAATAAAAACGGATCCACTTTTATAAATTCGGTCCTGCATCGTTTATGCATTCCTAAAGCAAGTTTCTAGTTAAGACACAAAAACAGTGATGTGAATTAAGGTCCTCTGAGATTTAACGTGTTATGTACGTTAATACAGTATGTTTTTTTTATTTTTTTTAGCGACGAGAAGGCTTCATCCGATGAATGGACGGATGTGGAAAGTGAGGGGGAGGAGGAGGCGCGCGCCTTGCAGGCCCCTGGACCGGCGCGAGACACCATCATACATGACCCGAAAGATCTCGCCTTTTTTTCATTTTTATCAGATGATTCATTTGGCTATGATGATAATTCTGATGAAGGTTAGTATTTTTTTGTTGTTTTTGAACTAACTTTGTGAGTGTGTGTGACGTCTATTATACTGTGTATCGAGTTTTCGGTAAAACCTTATGCGTATTATGACCAACTAGCTTTTGCCCGCAACTCCGTCCGCGTGGAATTAAAAAAAAACACAAGTGAGTAGTGTGCGGGATACACGTACGTGTAAAATAAAAGACTTGATTTTGAATGAACTTGACTGTAGGTCCACACTTCTGTAACTGAAATATTCGCTGCGGGGGCGTAATAATATGTGGGGGGCTAAAGCAGCTCTACCTCCCTGATTTTATTTATATTTCAAATGAACTGTACATACATTACTGAAAGTTATTTTCATTAAATTATTTACTATATATAAATTATGTACTATTAACTATTGTCTTGCACAAGTAGTCTGTATTCTTCTAAACTATCATCTACATCTATTCTAAATTTCATCGAGATTCTTTTAACCGTTTAGGCTACAAACTAACAAACATCCTTCCATCCACTAAACTTTCGCATTTATAATGTAACATGAATTATAACAAGGAGTTGAGGTGGCGTATTAAACTTGACAACTGACAGTACCTTTCAAAGAATTTACCGGTGAAAAAATGTTGTTCACTCTCTAATCTATGTTGTTAAATGTGAGTTGCGTAAGAAACCTATGTTTGTGGCATGTTTCCAGGTGCGGAGTCGTCAGGCAAGGAGTCGTGTTCTCGCATGCGAGCTGCACGCGAGGCTCGCCGGCGCGAGGTGCCGGAGGAGAAGCGGCCGCCCACCGACAGCAGCGAGGTATCGCGCTGCGTTGTTGCCTAATGTAGGCCGGGAGGTGCGCGCGACGCCTCCCGACAACCGTCACCCCTCACCCCTCATTCCTTTCACAACATACCACTCGCGACTTCGTAACCCATAAAAACTATAATTATTGGACTTTATTACCATCGTTAATCATGAGTGTAGAAGTTTCCTTACAAATATGTCAACCCTTAAATACATGATATACATCAGTCTTCTCTTCAATACCAAATGGATTATTTAAAAAAAAACATTTATTTGTCCCTTGATCTATGTTCAATTTACTACCCGTTTCACTTTATGGTATTTAGAAAGAAGGAATCGTGCAATTTGAGAGTTAAAACTTGTATATGTCGCAATCGGAAGAAAAAATCAAGTGGAATTTAAGTCAGAATTAGAACATAGCGCTACCAAGCATATTTCTAGAAATCGTTAGTTTATTAATTTATTTTAATAAAAAAAAAAAAAGTTTGTGTAGGACATGGTTTACGACAATAATCGATTGGCGCGATTCGAACCCTCGGCTACGTGATCGGAAATCCGGACCTATTATTGGCGCTATTAACGCGTAAACAGCTCCTAGTTCTTCCGATTGTATTTCTGGGCCTTTGTTTCCACGTTTAGTATTTGATAACTGTATTCTAAAGTACCGGGAATTTCTAGTTCCCTGCGCATATCTTACCTGTGACTCGCAGCGACATCAATATTCAAATGTATTTGTAATTTTATTTATGTTTAGGTATTTTGTGAGATTTAGGTCCTGTCCCACCAAATTTTAAATTGCCTCATAACAATCCAACGTGTGAAATGTATGATGGAAATATCGGATTTTGTTACCTTATCTAACGTCATTTTTAAGCTATCTAAACCTCTATCAGTCAGTGATGGGAGAGGTCCTTAAATTTTAAAACTCAACATCAAAATAATGGAATACTTACTATTCAAGTCAATATTTAGTCTAACGACATTAAAAAATTAACTAATCGTCTTTTTTTTTTTCGTTTTATGGGATATTTTAATTCTAATTTATAAAATAATGGTAAAAAATGGAAACTTCTTCATTCAGCACTAATTTTTGTTATCTTATTCTTTTGAATCAACAGTAGGACAAATTTCAACCCATCTTCATTAGTAAATTTTTGATATCATAAATGCCAATTTATAATAATCAAGGGTGACGGAGGGAGGTGTTAATAGAGTGTTTTCTGCGAACTAATGTCCCTTTCAGACAGCTTGGTGTTTAATTGTGTATTTTCAAGCATAATTATTTAACAAAACTAATTGTTACGTTATATTACTTTTTCAAAAGCATGTATGTTAAATTGTGTGTTATCTACAAATATAATGAAATCGGAGTGTCTGTATGGCAATGTCATAAGAAAATTCCACTTTTGCAAAAAAATACATAAAAAAACCAAGAAATACTCAAGTATTTTATGAAAATGTTAATAAAATGGTACGTTACTGTTCCTTAGACCTTTATGTTGTTGATAACGAAAATTGCATTCATTTTTTTTGTCTGTCTGTCTGTCGGTTAGTTCCAGTTAATCTCCGAAACAGCTTTATTGATTATGACGGGTCTTGAGCTGAAGCTGACATTGTCGCGTTATTCTGTTATTTATAAAAAATAGTTTTTGTTATAACATTTTTTTTATTAAGCTAAAAATTAAAAAAAAACTAAAACAGCGATCAACCTCACTTACAACGAAGCGACAAGCACATCAGCTGGGTTCATCTTATTGGCTGCCTTCGGCTTGTTGATTGCTTCCTAAACTTCTTGGCAGCAGATACTCCGATCTCAGGCGGCACACTCCTCCTTCGACTATGCTGCCTCATGTAGGAGCAACACTTCCACATCCAAAAGGAGGAAAAACAGTAGTCACAAAGAACAATAATAAGGGAAAACTCAAGCCTCGGCAAAAAAATAATGGATCAACGTTTTTACAGAACACGTGCCTGTGGCTGTCAAAAGTGACACTTGCGTACAATACTGCAAGAAATAGCTTAATTTTTTCTTGCATAATTGTCCGGTTTTCCCACAAAACTCGAAAGGTTTCTAACTCTACAAATGCGCATATGTTCCAAAATATGGTTGTCACTCAATAACGTAAATGCTCTGTTTAGCTTCCCGTTCATGTTGTTTCTCTTAGCATATGCAACGGCATATGCTAAGTGAAATGCAGGGTCATCGGACCCTTGTTAGTCTTTTAAAGCACTATGTACTTTATTATAAGACAAACATGTAAGATAATGAACAGATTGTATCACGATGTTTTAATTCACTTATTATTATAAATAATCAATGTGTTTAAAATTGTTGTAACAGGTGGAGTCTGAAGATGAAAGTGAATCAAGCGATGATGAAGTATCCTCGGCAACGGAAGTGTCAACAGATAGTGAGTTTGCGCGTGAAGAATGTGTACCGGCGCCCTCCCCTCCTGCAATTCTTGTAACGGAGGCGCCGCCGCCGGCCCCTCCTCCTCCTCAAGAATACCCTCTTAGCAGAACTCGATCAGCAGGTGGATTGGCCACTAAACGTGCCTTAGAATTAAAAAGGAGATTTTTGTTAGGAGAACCATCACCGCCGGCAGTTAGAAAATCAGACTCTACCTCTCAGTTAGATACTAAAGTCAAAGCATTTCGATCAAATATAACAGAATTTCAAAAAATGTTACACCCTGCTCCCGCACCGACCACTCAAGTCCAACCACAAAAGCCAATTGTTACTTTTCGTTTGACTGAGGATGTGCAAAACAAAATCCAACCAATGCCAGATATTATCAAGAACTTACATACCGATGCTCAAGTTGACTTGCTTACAAAATGTGATTTGCCACTATGTAAAAATGATTGGAGGGAGCCAATAAATGAAGAAAAACAAGAACCTGATTTAGAATCTGATTCTTTATCCGATGATGATGCTTCTAACACAGATACTGCTCCGAATCAAACGGTCCCTCGGGTGGAAGTGCACGACGAGGGCGGAGAATTAATACAACTTGATAGCTTAATGATTATTAATACTGGGATTGATGATATTGGCGAAAAACTATCTGCTACAGCTTTATCGGACGTACCTACAATACTCGCTGCTGAATCAGAATCGTCAGAATCTTGTCGTGATGTTACCACTCTTGCTTTGACTGAAACAGAACTGTCAGATTGGGCAGCTGAAAGTGCAGTGTTAGACGAGTGTGGTATAGACGACAAAGAAAATAAAAGAAAGCAAAACCCGAGGACATTGAGTGGCCCAAAATTAATACACGATGCTAAAAATATTGCAGCTATTGCTTCACACGTTTGCGGGCGAAGTAGTCCTTTAGATAATATTGTCTATTCCAATGCACTCGAACATTTCGAGTTCGCGGACGAAGGCGATCAAGATCCTTCGATTGGTACGCCGGTTACACCAAGGAATGAAGGCTATATGGAATTTGTTGACGATAAGATAGAGGTAGAACCATACTATCCAACTAACGATCGATCAATGAACTTTTTTGAACAAGCTTTTTCGGAAAGACTATTGAAACCTACGGGTATTGACATTTGTAGAGAAAACTTGAGAAATGATGTTTCTGATGTCATTGAATTTATAGATAAAGATGACTCACAAGAAGACAGCGTTCCAAAAGAGCAAAACTCTTCTAACATTACGGAACTAGCACAAATTGAATTAAGCGAGAAATCTAGTACCGAAAATACCTCACTCAGTTTACAAAGGAATACAGAGAAAACTAAAACTGCTAATGATAGCACTCCTACTAGCAATAAAGAATTGATGACAGTGCTTAGTGACGTGGCGTCTATTAGTTTATCAGAAGTATCGTCTGCTTTAGATAAAACTAATTCAGATACAGGAAAAGTAAAAGCTAATAGTCCATTGTCTAAGAACTCTGCAGAAGATATATCACCACCATTAGCGCAAGACTTTAGTCTTTCCCGAGATTCTACGTATAATGGTAGCATTAATGCGCCTGTCTCTTTTGGCTCTTCCAATACTATACGAATGTATTCACCAGCAATCTGCCGATCCGTCACAGTACCTTTCAATAGTTCCATTTCAAGAAGTGGTAACTCAGACTCACCATGCCGTAGCATGGATCTCTCGATATCTGCTAACATTAGTTCAGGATCGATATCACCTGCTAGTCCATCCCCTATGCGGGACACAACAGTTAAAGTACAAGAAATAAAACGAGAGAGAGATGAACTTAACGATATAGTAAGGGGATTAGTTCTGGGAAGGGTAAGAAGTGGTCCCCGGGATGGTAAGAAGTCGTCTCGTAGAACTAAAGTCTCGCCCGCTTCTAACACACCACCCCCAATCCCTCCACCTCCCGTGCTCCCCGAGCAACAACCTCCGCCGCCGCCCCCGCCCCCGTCCTCCTATACCTCACCGCCCCTTAGACCAATGTCGCCTCAAATATCTTTATCTGTCTCACCATCCCTCTCTGACCCAGAATTGGCAACAGAAAGGAGGAGAAAAGGTATCATGAAGAGCATTTCCAATTATTTAAATAGACGTCTAGGACCACGCCACAAGGTAATTTTCTTTTTACTATTTAAACAATAAAATAATAAATACATATCCTTTATACATCAATACTAAAACCAATTGTGAATATTGTACATACAAATACGAAGTTCATAAAATTAAAATTGGAGAAGGCTTATAATATTTATAGTTTTAGTTCGGGTGTCCACTAATTGGCGGACGAAATTTTGTCACGGAAAGGGATAATAACGTTTTTTGGCACATTTAATTTCGAAATTGACGTTTTGAAGGACACCCTGAGTAGACTAACCCTAGTTGAATTTTCAGTGGGTCTCGGAGCCGGACCTGATGTCGCACGTAAGCAAAGCATATCAAATACAGTATCGTGAACTAGTGAGTCGCATGCTGTACCCATCTCTGTCGCACCATTCATCTGCTCTTTGTACGTTGTCTCGCTATCTCTCGCGTCTCGCTCGGACACGGTTTTCCTCTGCTTTTGCTATTACTGTACCAACTTGACGCTGAATCTTCTTTTAAGAATACATTAAATGTATTATAGAACTACAGTCGATGCAACGTCAACGTTGTTAAATTCATTATTCACATTTTCCTTTTTATAGGTATGAAAATATCAGTATAAACTAGTTTATATATCGATATTGCCGCTGGAGCTACTATAGTATGCATGTTTGTATGGCTTTTATGCAAAAAATATAAAGCTACGCTACTCCTGTATTTAGAATAATTTTCTTGTTTCCCCAAACATTGATTACTTCTAGTATTATTTTCATAAATAATACAGAAAATGTTAATGATAATGTGTATTGAAAATATAATTTCTGGCTTAACAGTACTTAATAAAGCTGTTTAAAGTTTATAGTGAGTAAAGCCATTCTTTTTTACAACTTTACAAACTTAGTCAATGTCTTTGGTTTTGATCTTTAACTGCATTCTATAGTTTCCTTTCCATGGGTCTTAGAATATAGTAAATGAGAGATATTTCAATAGAGTGTTGGATCTTGCAGGGAAGTCGGCAAATGAGTCAGTCAATGAGCGGCGCGCACAAGTCGACTGGTACGCTACAGGAGTCCCCGCCCCCGGCCCCGCCCCCACCGGTGCCTCCGCCCCCTGCCTGTTACTCCCCGCCCATACACACGCACTCGTCGTGTAGGAGGCTTCCAGGTAATTAATGAAACATTTTACATAACTAATATACATTTAATCCGTTTAATAAAAGGTCTGTCAATTCATAAGAAATGTTCAATAAGCAAACATTTTCTAATTTTTGATAATAATAACTTCATTTAATAAATCATTAAATTCATTGTTCACCTGCATATAACTGTAACGTGTTAGAATTTTACTGGATCAGTTAGAGAATGTATGTTTTCGTAGCATGGAATTTGTTTTAAGTTTATGTTTATCTCCTAGTTCCCCCAAGTATGACTGCGACGGAGATAAGTGCGATTGCGAGAAAGAACAAGTGTTCTGTATCTAATCTGTATGTATCTATCTGTATGTAAGTACATACAAGGCAAAACAATCAGTTTTCTAATTGATACCAAGACATTTGATCTCTTAACATAGTTGAATCAAAATTGTATTCTATTAATTTAAAAGTAAAACACCGTACCGCATGCAAGTACAATAAAATGTGTTAGGGTTAAAATCAATTTGGAATCTTACTGATATTAGAAATGCGAAAGTTTAGATGGATGTTTGTTAGAGTTTGTGGTCAAAACGGCTGAACAGATTTCGATGAAATTTCGTATAGATGTAGAGAATAGTCTAGAAGAATACATAGGCTATTCACTTTTGTTTTTTTTTAATTCCACGTGGATAAAGTCGCGGGCGACAGCTAGTAGATTAAAATAGACATTTTAGCCATGACTGTATTTGAGATTGCATGCACTTAATGAAGGGTGTATTTGGTGTGAGGTAATGTGTAAACACAATAGGAGTGATGGATATCGAGGAGCGGGATGCGATGCAGCTATGGTTCGAGGCGCGGTGGGCGCGGCTGGTGGCGCAGCGGCGGGCGCGCGACCGCCCCGCCCCGGCACTACACTCACGTCACAACACAGACCACAACGTTAGACTGGCGCACCTCGAACGACGACTTAGCAGACCATTGTCTGGTAACCTTCATATAACAATTACCATGGGTTTTCTTTGCAGACAATAGGTAATATGCATATGACGCCAAATTGGACTTTTTTAAGTATACTTTATTACTTTAAAAACAGCTGTAATTTTTTTAAATAAAATGATATTTAGTGGCGATATTTAATCATTAAAGTGTATTTTTTAAAATTCCCTCTCTAAGATCTAAAACGTACACTATTGGTCAAAGCGAATGACCTATCTATTATGGCGTCGCTGTGTTGTCAATACATAGGTCATTTACGTTTGTTTATGTAGAAATCACTCTTGAAGTATTTTACTGTAAACACGATGTCGAAACTAACTTTAAACAAAAAATAAATGAAGAGAATCATTAATTACCAATTGTTTGTAACTGGAATAATGAAAATGAATCGGTTTTTGACTTTTGATAACTCCGAGAACCAATAAGATACTTAGTTGTTTTTGACATCAAAGTGACAACTGAGCGAATGTGATGAATTAATTGAATGAAATGGGACGATTGTTGTCACTTGTCTCAAGCTAACTCCTGGGTCGCGTTTTAACCGCACAATAATGATCATAATTTTTTTTAGCTCAATGGTTCAATATTTATGAGTCAATATTTTTTTCTCATTGTCTTATAACAAGTAAAAAAAGAAAATAATACATGCATATTGCCTATTGTATATTTTTATCTGTTATTATCTCCTAAGAACTTGATATTATGTACATATAAGTGTTTTATAAACATTTTAGCACAGTAAATCTACGTCTATACTTCATCTAACATATTAAAAATGTTTAACATCGCTGCGTTTGTAAATGCATGTTCTCAGCATTGAACGGTTCAAACTAACTTTTGATCTTGTTGATTTACTGCTAACTGCTACTGTCTTATTTGAACGTTGTCGTTACAGCGGAACAACAAGCGGCGGCGGTTGCTGAATTAGTGCAGGTGACTGCGCAGCGCGACGCTCACGAAGCTCTTATGGCAGCTGACAGGTTAGCTCATTTTTCATTACTTTTAATGAAATTCTATTCTATTGATATTCTTCAATACAAACGAACGATACCTTCAGACCGAACATATATCCTTAAAAAAGCAAAGTTATACATATATACCGTTGCCTTATACATATATGCCTTATTTATACATGGTGAATAAGAGTGGAGTGATACAATATTATGAAGGACTTGATGTTTCCGTGCAGCTTCATCCGTATTATAAAAACTTTTTTTTTACATTTGTCAAATTTATAATTGCAAATGTTAAAATTTAATTACCATACTTACCTGGTTTCCTTAATGTTGGCGGCTTGTAGTTTGTGGTGCTCATCCCACATGAATTTTTCCAATTTAGTTACCACCTAGGTTTAATAGCGTGAAAATTTATAGCCTTAAGCGTGTCGTAAATTTAGGGCTTTTATAAAGAAATAATTATTTAAAACCTAGATTTCGCCCGCGATTTCCATGTGGAATCAAAAAAATCATAAGTGTAGTAGCCTATGTTCTTTCAGGTTATCTACATGTATGGCTAATTTCATTAAGATCGTTCAGCAGTTTAGGCTACAAACTGTAACAAACATCCATCCATCTAAACTCTAGCATTTATATTAGTATGAAGTATGATATCATGTGATTGACATCTTACGTCATGAGGTCGTATGTGTACGCTTTATTACATATGTATAGATAAAAAGTAAACGTATTACAGAAGGCGCCACGCAGCCAGCGACAACGTGGGAACACATCATAAACTCGGCGACTAAACCCCGGCCTGGAAACTAATGTTTACCTTTATATAATTCTCTAAAGTTTATTATTAAAAAAATAAATATTTAGATGGAATATTCCTCTCAGAGTATATATGTTCAAGGTTCGCTTGAAACTGGACTAAGATGCTGTTGCCAAAATCTATCGCAGAATTTTGCACTCTTAATGTTAGAACAAATGTTAAATATATGTTAATAGGTGTCCGTATTTGTGGCATTGTTACCCTGAAAGCAATTATCTAAGCCTTGCTGTAAGATAAGATGATAGATATACTATATTTATATACATAAATCAATGAATCATTACTTGACAATATATTTGTATCATATGTTCATACTTAGGTCAATGTCTTTGCGAACAATCTTTACTAGTACTTCCAAAGGCGAACTTTGATATGTTTCTAATCATTGAGCTTTATTTAGTTTTATTAGTTAGAGATAGTGGACTACTATACCGCAACTATTTATGAAGCTTTGTTTTGTATTCGATCATCTTAACACTGTCTATGTTTTGTAATTTCGTAGACCGGATTTGTCCAGTGATTTAAGTGACTAATGTCGTCAAATAAAAAGGTAATGTATTTTTATAAATGACTTGTAATTGAGTGAAAATAAACCGCCACAACAATTACATTTAGTACACACTGAAATTGCAATGCAAAAAAAGTTTTATACTTAGGTTAATTTTGTCTATTTTTGGACCGAAAGAAATTGTATATCTTCAAAGTTATAGAATTTACATCACAAATATACTATACAAAACAATACATCACATTGCTATTTGCCACGTAGGTTTTTTTAAAGTAATTTTTACCGTATTAATAAAACAGTCTTATTAGACGTATTATATATATTTATTTATTAAATTGTAATTATCTCTTTTTTTTAGAGTTTTATTAAATTCATCACAAATACTTTTTTATGACATTTATTTTTGTATACATTAATTTTTTATTGAAGATTAATTGATGCCTTTTTTTTTACTAAAATTAAAAAATTCAGCAAGACAATGTATTGTAAAATATATTTATATTTATTGAGGAAGAATTTAATAATTTACAAAAGTTATAAATCTAGTAATATTTCTACTGTTGACACTATTTTACTGTTTATCCAAAGCCAAATATTAAACCAAACATCAAAATACACGATGACTTAAAACAATAAAAGAAAACATATACTTACTTTTTGATGAACTATGTATTTTGTTTAATGGTCTACGAGATTAAAAAATGTTGTTTTAAAAATTACTTACGCCTTTTCTATGTATTGACCACTGACTATTTGTTTACTGAATTATTGTGTTACGTGTATTTACCAAGTAGATACATCATATTATGTGGCACTTATGAAATTTATATTATTTCATTCGTAGAAGTAAATCGTGTTTAATTCTACGCATTACATAATATCTGAGAAAACGAGAAACTTTGTCAGTCTCGTTGTTTATTGAATCATCTTAATTATATTTTGGAGTTGGAGTTTTGAATTTGATGCTACTTTTGACTTTTTGACTTCGATTGTTTCTATTAAAGTAAAATCAATATATGTACTTTTAGTTAAAGTTCATTTGCGTTAACTGAAACAAAAGGTGCACCTACAGGATGAGTGAGAACTTTGCTATTTTAAATTTAGGCTGGTTGCACACGTGGGTTTTATTTTATGACATATTTTCACAAAAAAGTAGTTTATTTACTTATGTAATATTGGGTGTTGATCTGCTAGATATGCCAAATGTTGAAACTATAGCGTGTAAACTGTCTATAAAATTGTGTGTGCTCAATCTTAAATGCTGATTTATCAATAATTTCACTTGTATGTTTGCAGTAACGTTGCTCGCAATATCGCTTCCTGTTTTAACGTAAAGCTTGTCTTGTTTTTAAGAAAAATTAGTAAGTAAATTGAAAACTATTTTTGTACGCACATTGCATATAATTTTCACTAGTTGTATAAAAGCAAAAAGAAAAGAAGGTTGTTATAAAAAATATACGTTTTGAAAAAGATATGTGCAAAATTAACTATGTTTGCAAATTTAACAGTAGAGTATAAAGTTCAAACGCTTTAATGTACTGATTAATTGGATAAATATATATGAATATATTTTAGTATTAGAATTATAGTGAAGAGCAGTGTCAATGTTAGCAAAATATAGTTAAGGTTCTGTAGAGTTGTTACTGGCAATGCACCTTTAGCGCGATCGAACCCCAAATGTAGCTTAGGATTAGGCACATTCTATGCACGCGGACTTACTTTGCTTAACATCGGAAGCGTTATCATAACCGTAGTGCGTGGACGCTGCGAGGTGGCTGCGAAAACCTTAAAGTGTGTAATTAGCTAATAAAAGTAGCGCAAACTCTACTATATTGAAAATAAAATTCGAGCACGAACCGTACGCCCCTTGTTTATTCTTTATTTTTAATGATATTCATATAATTGTCAAATTAAATTACTTTGTCCTCTCAGTAGAACTTTAGTAAGTCTTTTTTTCATCACCGCTGAAAATGTTCAATTTTTGCTTAAGTTAAAGTTATGTAAATTTTTGTATTTTCATTGCAGTATTTTTTATTTCATTATCGCTTACAATGTTCAAATATTTGTTCAATAGCAATAAGTAAAATCACGTCATTTTCTAAACAATGTGCCTCATACAGACAATTAGATTTATAAGAATATTAATAAAAATATAACTGCGTTCTTGATATTGAAATAATATATTTGAATGTGCTTTCATTGCTGATTCAATTAAATAAATTTATGTTACAAAATATGTTGTTTTGTTTTTATTTTATGACTTGTTTGGCGGATTTCCCTACAAAATGAGACAAAACCCAATTTTTTTGCGAATTATTCAAATTATAACAACACTAACGGACACTTCAATCTGGAGCAGTGAAGGCCAAGTAGTTCTAAAAGTATTTAGTTTCCACATTGGTTTCTAACAGCGACCTAATGCCATTAATTACAAGAAAAACAGGGTTTGTAATTTAAATAAGAAATTTCTTTGATGATCACAATAATTTATTCTAGAATACATTATATACTTACACATAATACTTTTAATTCTGGTAATGTTATAAAAACAAAATTTCGCACAACGTACAATTATTAGAAAAGGATTTTTAATGGTTGATTAAACGTGCAAGATGAGGACCCAGCTAGAATATTTTGTACATTATGAGAGTGATGTTTTTTTAATATTTACATTTTTGATGATTTATTACATGATCCCTTTTGTCTCGGCCTGTCTAATGGCACATTTTTTTTATTTGATTTTGTCCCAATAGTTGTACTAAATATTAATTTTGTACCAATTAAACAGTAGCTATTAGCGGTTTAATTGATATCGCATAATCTATTTCACATTTTATTGAAGACCGCCTTAATCTTTTTTATTTATTCCTAAATTTAAATAGTATTTTTCAGTTCGTAGCTGGAATTCTTTAAATTTTGCTGCAAACAGAAATACCGAACCAGTTTGCAACAAATTTATTCTTTATTTATCATGTTTAATCTAAGGACTTCCAAGTCTATAAAGTCTTATAATAAAATAATTTAAGAGGTTTCGAAAAAAATAACATATTTTGAACAGAACACAAAGTACAGAGCATTAGCAATGATTAACTTCAATCTAATCTTATAAATCTAATAAAATTATTTACATTTTATCGTTGTTTTTATTTCGAAAAAACTAATACTAAATAAGACTGTATGAATTTAAGACTTTGATAAATATATAAATAAAAACACATAAGAAAAGATCAAGGTAATCATAGTTCAAAAGCGGAAGAATATAATTTGATAAAGTACTGCAACTGATGAGCACATCTGTCCACTATCACGATACTTCATGAACTAACTAAATCAGTAAATAAATTGACAAAGAGAAATATAGATTTAGTATAGTGGTTGGTAAACCCTGAGATTACATTAAACCTTAACGACCTGAAAGTTTTTCAATAAATTAGATATTAAATTAAAATGCCTAGAATATAACTTACAATACGCTTTGTGTATTGAAGGATACAGTTTTTGAATAATAATGTTAATGTCTAGGTTTGTGGTTGTGGTGGGGACGGTGCGAGGGGGGGGCCCAGTCGCGGCGATGGTGGTGGTGATGCCTCCTCTGTTCCCGCGAGTGTGGCGCGGGGCAGACATCGGCCACCACCAGTTCAGAGCCGTCTTTCGGAGTTTCTCGTTCGTGTCGTCTATGGCCGTGCTTGGCGCCGGCGGCCTCGTGTAGCTCCTCCCACGCCTGTCGGTAGTACCGGTTGAGGCCGCTGCGGGACTCCGACGAGGACGAGTCGAGCGACGCCACCGTGTTACAATCCGGGGACACGTGGTGCCTGTACCTCTTTCCGTGGTTGTGTTTCCTGCTGATGAATATTACATTTTAACTATCATTAAAATAAATGGTACTTTAGGTATAATGTCATCATCATCTCCCTTACTTTACCACACTCATGCGGAGTGGATGCACACGGTGTTATAATCCTTATAATGTTAAATTCTAATATTAGGTAAACTCTTCATAGCCGACGTCTTAACTACATCTACATTCGTTAGATCAACAAAAATATAATGAGGGTGACAACCGAATTCAGTAGGATTTATAAAACCTGGGACTAACAAGATGAGATGTACCTATCACTTGTATTACTTTATTTCTGTAAGTATTACTGTACTTAATACTCTAAATGAAAATTAACAAGTTGGCATTTCTCACCGCTAGGTTTAATTTACTTTAAGTTTTGAGTAAATAGGAATAAACACACATTATAACTGACTTGTTAATATTTACAATATTTTGATGACAGAATTAATAAGATAACAATAATAATATTTTGGCGTATTACAGAACATTCAGAATCAGTGCTTCGATCGTGATAATTATGTATTTACAATCATTGTGTATTTATTTTAGCATTTAGTGATGTTTGAATGCATGTATAGCTCGTGCAAATCATATTTTAAGGTGATCATAAACATATCAATACATTTTGTGCTGTTCGGTGATAATCAATTTTGTTTCCAAATTTTAAACGAAATATGAAGTGCTGGTGCTCGCGTGACGTAAGGCAACATGGTGGCTATTGGCGAAACATGCTGCAATCCAAAAAGCGCTTTTGTAAGTTTCATTGAGTACAGAAACTCTTTCAAATATTTAAACTAAACTTTTTCATATTCATCCTTGACCAGTTAATTTCTTGTTAACAATGTATGTAGTGCTAAAATAATAGGCACTATCATAATTGAACAAAGTAACTAAATCATAGTTATCTACAATACTTGTTGTACATTTGATACAGAGAAATTGATTTTTTTTCTCATTTGCAAACTACTGAACCATCGTATCCCTGGCCTTATCCCATTCAAGAAGGGTCGGCGCACAAGATTAACAAACTTAGAAAATCTAGAACAGAAAGCGACAACGGCTAATGTAATCTGAGCAAAGCTGAGACATGTTGCACGTTCGAAATTTATGTATCGGCAAAAGCAGAACAGCCACCAGGTAAACCATACCGCGTGAGGTGTAACCTTAAAATATAAACGCACTCGCTATAATGGGTTGGAGAAGTGTCCAGCGCGGTGTGTATGGCGGAGTGGACGGGCGAACTCTCGCCTTCCCACTTGCTGGTCCGGGAAGGGGAGCGCCAGTAGTGTGTACCAGCGGGAAGGTAACTCGCGAGCCGGCCACTCTGGCCGCGGCGCCCCGGGTCGCTTCTGACCGCCGCTGGCGTTCATAGTACCCATTGTCATTTACATTAAAACAAAACATAGAATCCTGTAGACAGAGGTGTATCCCTAAAATAACATAGGCACGATCCTAAGGCGCGAGGTGCTAAAATTACGCAGAATACGTAACTCTTTCCCAACAATCTTCGACAATATTTCCTTCGTCACTTAATAATTCCAATGATTTTGTGAATGACATAAAAGGCAATTTCTCAACCACAACAACAAAATAGCTTCCTGAATTTGAAGTGATTGCCCAATTGGTATTGTATTCTATATCATGAAGAAAACTCGCCTTTTTTGTAAACATTCTGGGATTTTTAATTATGAAATTAATCTTTACGATTTCATGAATGGACGTATTCATTCTTTAACAGAGCAAACTGGATAAAAACTACAATAGTTGTAGTTTACATTTGCTATCCAGTGTCGGACGCCATTGCTCCATCAGAAAGTCTGTCTTCTTGCAGGGGGTAATACATAGATATCAAGCATTAGAAAATAAAAATAAAGTTAAGTAAAATTGTAGGCAACTTAAAATCGTCTGTCGTCGAAAACGGCACAGGGAAATTGTCTGCCAGTATTTATTTAGCAAATCTTACTTCTTCAATGCATATGTGAAAATCAGCTCTGTGACAATAAGTGAACTTTGGTTTTTCAGCGCGTGATACCCGTAACTGCCCTATTGGACAGGATAACTGACAGCCATTCAGTTAGAGCACAAACGTGTCTAATCTAATCGTATAGCAGTAAAGCTTTAGGATTTAAGTGTCTTCATCCTCGCCTGGGATCTACGTCTACATTGTTTGTAAAAGCAGAACGGTGAAAATGTAGTTGGAGTGTATTAAATATGTTTAATATTAAATGCGGTTGGAAATCATGTATGTATAGTTATTAATTGAAGATATAACTAATAACTGAGAAAGTATTATATTACTAACAAGTTATAATATCTTATTAGTTCTATCGACTAACAGCAAATTAACATGTCAAGAATGCCTATTAGAATTATCTCATGAAATGAAACTTAACATCCACAATTAGCAGGTATACTATAATGCTAGGTATCAACAAAACTATCATTAAATACCATTTCATTATTGAACTTTCCATTTCTAATCCTTGTTTCTAAAGTATTGAAAACTGATATTTAAGGTAATAATACACATTAAAGTTGCAAGTAACTTTCATCAGTATACCTCAAACTTACTAACGTTGTTTCATATTTGAGTTTTGCTAGAATCGAGGTGCAAAAATACTTGTTCATACTTTTCTCCCGTCGTCTAATGAAGAATTGATCCAACTTTACATCCAGTATAGGATATTTTTAACAGTTTATGATCCGTAAAAGATATTGATTGTCCCTCACCTCCTAAACAGGATGACTATGGTAGTTATTAAGGCGATGAGGAAGACGAGTGCGCCGAAGGAGCCGAGCGCGATTATAGATCCAATGTTAAGGCGAGCACCTTCCCGCCGCTCGCCGTCC